ATGAAACTGGAGTATATAAAACCAGTTTGGATAGGGGGTAAGAATCTGAGGTAGCTGTGTTTGTTGTGGTCATGTGGCTGGGAAATTTTGAGGACAGTAGCCAGAGTACAGAGATATTTATTGTAGCCAAGGAAAGTATGTTTCCAACTAGAAGATATTCCCTTTTAACTTGATAATGACAATAGTCTGAGGTAATAAACAGTGAGACCTCTGCTTCTGAATTGTTTTTCTTTTAGCCTAGTATATGGTTACCTGTAGCAGGGTGACCATCCGCTCCAGCCGAGAAGGAGTTGGAAAAGCCCTGCAGAGGGCTGGGGCGGGGCCAGGGAGTAAAACCCCAGCTGATTGGGGCGTGCTAAGCAACTGGGCCTTATAAGAAGGCCAGGGAAGCCAGAAGAAGCAGCAGCCTCTCTCTAACTTGAGAGGGAGACAGGCCTGGCTTCTGGGGAACTCACCCAGGGGACCTAGAGGGAGGCAGGGCTGGGGAAAGGCCTTAGGAGCTGGGAAGCCCTAGGCCAGCAACACCCCAGGCTGCAGGGCCTGGTTCTAGGCCCACCTAGGTATTGGGCTTGCAGAGGGGCAGCCGGAGGGTGGGTAAAGGCAGCCAGTCCAAACCCCTTGTTGCCTGTGATGATCGGCTGATAGACTGCAGGGTGCGGGGGCTAAACAGAGACTGGCAGTAGCCATGACTGAGGTGATGTGGGGATAGGGGGTGGGGGAAAACCCAGCAAGACTGTGGGGTACTGCAGGAGGCAGAACCCTGAGATAAGGGCACCAGGGTCCTGGGAGGGTCACAGGGGGCCAATGGCAAGCGGATCACCGGCCTGCAGAGGGTGCTCCTCGGTTGAAGAGCTAATTCCCAAGGACCACCAGCAGGAGGCGCCGCAGGGCTGAGTCTGTGCTGTGCTACATTACCATTTCATAAGCAGGAAGGACCCTCTATTTAATCATTTAAGGGCCAATGATGTTACCTGGTATACGATATACGTAACCAATGGCAGAATTTGTCTACAAATACTTTGGATGTGTGTGAAGAACCTATGAACTACAGATGGATATTGCAGCAAAAAAGGCTAAAAGGACTAATTCTGAGAAAGAGGTCAAAAAGAAAAGTCAAGTAATGGATCATTATATGAAGAGGCACCAACCCTTTCTAAAAAGTAAAGTACAAGATGTCACTGTTGCCTAAAATTCTTGCAATTTCTATTAGATACACTATTAACCTCCCATTTCGAAGTGCAGTGCAGTGTTCCTGTATGCTGTTGTATGGCAACCACTTTTCACTCTAGTGATGAATGAAACAATTCTTCTAGTTTACTTAACAGCAATTGCCTGTGAACTTTAAGTCTTGAAATTGTCACAACTTCTGCTTTAAGCGGCTTTCCAATGCTCAGTTTTCTCTAAATTTCTTCTCTGGGTCTGAAACTCTGTCCTTGGCCTCAATCCCTGTATAACTTTTTCAAAAAGTTTAAGGAAAATCTCTAATTATTGAAGTGTTTAAAAGGCGACTTAGTATTTTTCTGCCCCCCATCAAAGGCTATAACAATTGTGATCCTTTTGAGCATGCTCAGAACATTTTCTCTCTCTTAAAGCAGAGTCCAGTTTTGACAAAACATTTTGATAGCTGTACTGCTTGTGTAGCAACAGCACTGTCCCTTCCAGTATACTCTTGCCCAGCATGGCCTCACCGGTCTAAGGATTGTTGCTGGAATACTTAAAAAGGGAGAGTATAAGCATAGGATTGAAATGGTGTGGGTTATGGGCCTGAACATATAGTCACTCCCACGGGGAGTCCCACTGAAGTCACAAGCCACTTATTAATGCACCTAAATAAGGACTTGCGGCCAACGTTTGAAAAGGATTGGCTAAGGCTTTATTAATAACACAGAAAAGGAAACACTTGTTTCAATGTTTCAAAAATCAAATATTTAATTGTCATTCTTAATGCACATGGGCAATTTATTTTCGCCATTCCCCCCCATCTCCCTTTAACAAAATTAAAAAAAGGCAAGGAAACAAATGCCAAGTTTCTCAGAATATCATTAAATCACCATTGCACAGACAGGGTTTGATTGTGCATATGTGCTTGCACTGGCATGATTTTACTCACTTGACTAGTCCTGTAAAAAGCAACGTTTTAGAGATCCAGAATAACACGGCTACTCCTCTGATACTTTAATAGTCCTGTTAATTCAGTGTATGCAAATTAGCACCACTAAAATTGTGGAAGATGTTCTCTGAACATGCTGAGAAGTGAGCACGTATCTTTTTAAAAAACCCTATTCTTAAAATGTAATATATGAATGACGGCCCTGATCCTGCACTTTGATCCACACGGGAGGATCCATGCACCTATGCAGAACCCCACAGAAGCTCTGGGTACTCTGCACGGTGCAGGCCCATCTGACTGAAGGACCAAGGCCTATGCATGTATTTTATATATACATATGCCTTTCAGAATGACACTAAGTTTACATACAATAGTTAACTGACTAGTTAGAGCGCTCTGGAAACCTTGGGGCAGTCGGGGGGAGGGTGCGGGGAGTGATTTCCTACATAAACGTGAATTACTATTACTGACTTGTAAATGAGTAACGAACTCCAATATTCTATTTGCCTGCCATGAGACTTTAGTCCTGAAACTGTATGCCAATAGAAACATTTTAGAAAGTATTTCCTAACTCTACAATTTGCCAAAAAGTAACTGATTTTAAAGCTAACTTGCTGATAATTCTATCAGTGCCAAAGCTGATACAGACTAACTCTGCTACCCACTGATACTTGTATCCACAAAAACAACAAGGAGTCCAGTGACACCTTAAAGACTAACAGATTTATTTGGGCATAAGCTTTCGTGGGTAAAAAAACCCTCACTTCTTCAGATGCATGGAGTGAAAATTATAGATGCAGGCATTATATAATGACACATGAAGAGAAGGGAGTTACCTCACTGGAGAACCAGTGTTGACAGGGCCAAAGCTGATACATTAACTACAAACCCAAATTCTATTCCCAAGATTTCTAAGTATAAGATCAATTTCTCTCCTCAGGCACTAGAAGCTTCTTGGAATAATAAAATAAACATTTAAGCTACAGAGATGGCCAGAAGGTGATAGTTTCAAGAGTAAAACAATAATTCTTTGTGTGTAGTGTGTAATTGACTCAGTGGTAGAAAAGTTGGTTTTTACAGAAAAATTCAGGGTTCATATCTTCCATGTACATAACTTAGCACTTAATGTCTGAGTCTTCCCTCATATAGCTAACGAGAACATCAAGGGTCCCTGTTCACAGGATAAAAAAAAAGTATAAGAAATAGAAACCTTCATACTTCAGGGGATAAGCCAACAAAAACAACTATGAAAAACTTCCTCTATGGTCAGGCTACTCCACAATGAGGTTTCTTACACCTTTATCTGAAGAGTATGGGGCTGGTCACAGCTAAAAAGACAGTACTTATCCTGTATAAGATGGACCACTGCCCTGATTGGAATTGACCATTCCTATGTTCCCACTGTTTTTGGAACATTGTCAACTCAATGACTTCAGTACAGTTACTTCTGATTTATACTGGTTTGAGAGGGGAGCAGGCTCTACCCTTATAACAAAACTGTATATAAATGTTAAAATGGGTGTGAATTATCGTTCCCAATTTACACCTGGAAAAATAGGCACATACGTTAAATGACTTGCCTAAGTTCTTGTAATGATGCTTACTCTGTTGTATGATAACACCCTGTTAAACAGAACTGGTGAATGATTAAATTCCTGTATAATATGTCTTTAAACAAAAGCTAGCTCTTGTAATGAGTATTTTGTTTCTGATATTTACCTGACAAAGAACTTTTTAAAACTTACTAAATAAATAGCTTAAAATTACATGCCTAAGTGTCAAAATCAGGTTCTCACTCCTAGTCCTACATTCATTCCACTAGACCCACTGTCATGGTCACTGCACTCATTGAAGGCAGACTGCAAAACTATAGAGTCTTTTAAAAATAAATTTGTTTCAGAATATACAGCTCGGCAGGCTCTCTAAGACAGTGACATAGTGATGTGAAGATTTTAAATAAATCTCACATTTAAATGTGAATAAGCTTGATGCAGCAATAGCAAGTTTTACAGGGGCTAGCTAGAATATGTGGTCCTGACCCCTCACTGCACTGCACCTTGTGAAGTTGTTTACACCAATGCATAGTGGACGAAAAACGCTATCATTCTGCTTTGGTAGAACACTACATCCACTTGCAATGCTGTAAATGATTCCAAGGCGCAGGGTAAGAGAATAAGGCCCTGTATGTATAATGGGGGTCTAACTTTTTTGTAATAGAAGTGAGGGGAGTTTTTTTATTCTTGTTAGGTGCAGTATGATGATTTTCAAATATTAGAAGGTGGGGGTTGTTGGGGGGGGGGGGTTAAAGTTCCAGATGTGCTAGGCCCCTCGATTCCCAGGTTGAGATTTCAAACCACAAAACGTCAAGTGCACAGTGGTAAAGGGTGTCCTGGGCAGATGATAAAAGCTAGTCCTAAAATCAAAGATAATATGAAGTTGTGGCAGTAACTTCAGACAGGGGCAGTAACACCACTAAGGGGTGTTCCGTGGCAAAACCTCCCATCACGAATTCTCTCTCTCTCGGAAACAAAATCGCGCAGGTAGTTGCAAGGAGGTGGGGCCCTTTTAGTCTGACTGCAGCTCAAAGCAGCGAGGAGATTAGCCTGCTTGACGTCCCCCATCACCTCCCCTTTCTCGCGGCCTCATTTGCCTGGGGGGGG